AGATTGGGCCACTGCACTCCAGCCTGGGTGACAGAGCGAGACTCCGTCTCAAAAAAAAAAAAAAAAAAAAACTAGCTCTGATGCCTTTTAGTTCACATGACTTTAGTAATATTTGGTAAGATTAATTTGGTAAATTTAATCTTAAAATTCTCTCCAGTAGTTTAAAATTTTAAAAATCATGTTATGTTAAATTAAGTAATCCTCAATTTTTTGCACTGGGAATCTGGTTTACTAAGAGGTAAAATAAGAGAGTAAAAAGTGATTTTGGTGAAGTTTATAAAACACAAGAATGTGGTTTTTGCTAGTTTAGAGGCTAGGGTTTTTTTTGTTTTGTTTTGTTTTTCTAGTTTAGAGGCGATTCCAAACTTCTAAAAATATACAGGCAGCTGGGCGCTGTGGCTCACACTTGTAATCCCAGAGCTTTGGGAGGCCAAGGCAGGCAGATCTCCTGAGTTCAGAAGTTCAAGACCAGCCTGACCAACATGGCGAAAGTCCGTCTCTACTAAAAATACAAAAATTAACCAGATGTGGTGGCGTGCATCTGTAATCCCAGCGACTTGTGAGGCTGAGGTAAGAGAATCACTCGAACCCGGGATGTGGAGGTTGCAGTGAGCCAAGATCGTGCCACTGCACTCCAGCCTGGGAGACAGTGAGACTCCATCTCAAAAAAATATATATATATATACACACACACAAACACACACTCATATATATACACACACACATACATATATATATACACACACACACACACACACATACAGACAAAACTAAATGAATAAAGAGAAAATCAAAAGGTGGGAAATTAGAAACCTTTGATTCCTTGGTTATTATCTGTACAGTGTAAAATGAAATTAAAGAATAATGCTGAGGCTGGGCGGAGTGACTCATGACTGTAATCCCAGCACTTTGGGAAGCCGAGGTGGGCGGATAACCTGAGGTCGGGAGTTTGAGACCAGCCTGACCAACAGGAAGAAATGCCATCTCTACAAAAAACACAAAATTAGCCAGGCGTGGTGGTGCATGCCTGTAACCCCAGCTACTTGGGAGGCTGAGGAAGGAGAATCGCTTGAACCCAGGAGGCTGAGGTTGCAGTAAACCGAGATTGCACCATTGCACTCCAGCCTGGGCAACGACAGCAAAACTCTGTCTAATAATAATGATAGTAATAATGCTGAGTTGGACCTTGATGCTAGACAGAGCTCAGATTTAAATCAGTCTGAGTTTACACCACCAGCCTGAAAGCTGCACCCCAAGGGCAGAATTATGCACGGCAACAGAAAGTAACTCTCAAACCTGTGGTTACCAAGAAGATAGTCAATGTGAGGGAAGGGCAAAACCAACCATAGAGTATAATGTAAAGAAATTGTTCCATTTTGTAGTTTTGTGTCATCCACTTCCTGAGAACCCTTTAATAGAATGTAAAAATAACTACTTTAAGGGCAGTATCTTATATTTTAAATGCTACAGAATGAAAGAGCATGTTTGGGTTGTTACAGAACCCATAGCTTACTATTAGACAATCACTGATGATTATATGTGATCCAGATGAAGAGCAGGTTATTTGTGAGAGAACAATCAGCCCAGTGGATTGGATGAATGCCACTTAAGGTCTGTTTACCCTGAGAAGGGGATTTCCCACCTCTCTCTATAAAATACCAAGTGGAGCATCCCAGATGAAGTAGCTGATATTTCTTATATGCAAGCCATGTGGGACTGGCTTTATGATAACTAAGATATGTTTCCACTGAATATGCCTATTACCCAGATCATGGTAAAAGCTGTGGTTAAGGGGGCCCCTTCTATATGGGCACCCTGGATGACATTACGTCTGCAGAATCAAACAACTGTTTAAGAAGCCTTATCAAATTTTCTGTCCTTCGTGGGTCTTACAGATGTTAATAGAACATTACAGTAATTAACAACAACAAAAAAGGGAAAGGCAAAAGGGAGTCAAAGGACTCATCCCAGAATGGTGGAAATCGTTAGATGTTTATTAAGAAATGAAATGAAATGAAAATTGATGGAGTTACGGCAAAGGTCTTTACAACACTATCAAAGGTTGGGTGAAACAAAGGGAGTCCCTGCTGGGTCCCCTCTACATTAAAAGGTCCCACATCACTTTCCTACATTTGCCCCATGTTGGAGGAATTTAAGAAAAAAACAAAAGGGAAAAGGTATAATGAGCAAGCTAACATTACCTGGGGGCAAAGCTGAGTTGAGTTAAGGTAAAGATTGACAAATGAGCTTGAGTCTCTTGGCTCAACTCCATGCTGGGAACCCAAATCCTTTTCCACCAGAAATGGTCAAATGGTCTGGTAGTAGAGAAGAAAAGTTCCCGGGACCAGAACATAAAAATGTAAAGACTGATAGGATTATGAAATTTGAGACGCTTAAACAGGCTTTCTGTAAGGTAGTTGTGACTCCTTTACCTAAATTTCCTATGAAAATGGGAATTGTATCTCACTAGGGGATGTTTTCCCTATCTAGTATCATAAAACTGAAGGCATGTAAATCTGACCTTTGAGAAATGTTCATTGGATACACTAAATGGGAACTAGTAAGATTGCCTGAGCCTACAGAATATAGGGTGGAAGCTAGAGTGCTGGTCAGGACAAATCCTTCATTTGATAGCTCTTTGTGGAGCGTTTATTGGGGCTTATGACAAATGCCTGTGAGCACTTTCCAATGATAACTACTGGAAGTTTGGACTAGAGAATTTCCACTTAAGGTATATTTACTGCCTTGCTATGGAATACTAACTAAAGCTACCCCTATGCTAACAAAAATAATAGTGCCCCTAAGATTGCCATGATAAAATGAATGTGGTTTTTATAGGATCATGCTATCTGGGGATGCAAGGAGGAGGTATTCATTAGCAGGGAGCCTCTTTTTCCCTGAGGACTGGCTCTAGCAATGTGAATAGCTGCTAGATTTTTCAGTGCCAGATAAACAGCTCTCATCTGACAAGAGCTGGTTGGCTTGTGAATGGCAGTTCCAAGGTGAACAAACAACATTTTGTTTGAAAGCCTGCTGATTTGGTTAAAGGAGAGTCATGAAAATATTTTTATTTATTTATTTATGTATTTATTAGTTATTTATAGTTTAGAGCAATTGGGTAAAGTATGTTTTTGTAAGCAAATTTACCTTTCTCTCTATCTGAGGTCTCCAAAATTTGGAAACTGTTCATGCATATTCTGATTTCATAACAATATAATTTGCATAAGTTTACTAAGAGTCTTTTTTTAAAAAAAATAAGACAATTGGAGACTCTGGTTATTTTTCCAAGGCTTTGACTAGAATAACACATTTTTAGGTAAAGTTCAGCAAAGCCTACTTGAAAAGAGCCTATATCGTCAAACAATTCTTGCTGCACTTTGTGTAAATAATCAGGCCAAGTATAATAAGCCTAAAACTTATTTCACACACAAATTGGTCTTACTGTAATTTCTCCTTAGTAGAAAAGGAGGACTAGAGGAGAGAAATTGTTTCAAAGGAAAACTATAACACCTTTTACTAGACTACAGCCTTGAATTTTGTTTTTGAGTGAAAATTGAATCATGAATTATTTCTGGGCTACAATAATATTCTAAAGAGTATCAGTATAATTTTCTTCATGTTTTTAGTTGGCATCCTAATGGAATAGGTTCCTTTTTCTGTTCTGACACGCACATTCTCTTTCTATTGTCAAACTATTGTTATTTATTTCTCGTAGTTTTACTTCTTCTGAGAAAATCAGAATCATGTATTCAGAAGACTAGAGATGATTTGAAAAGGCCTGCAAATCTTTGTCATTTTGAATCCCACTGGATCCAGTTAGTTTTTCACTGCAAATGTCCTGCTGCTAAACCTATACAAACAACTTTCCTCTAGGCCCAGGGACTATCCCAGAAGAAGTGGGTGTGTGAGATTATAAGGGCCAGTTTTGAGGAACAGAATTAATTCAGACCCTGCAAATCAAGGATGGGTACCTGGATGCCTAAACAGCTGGCAAAATAAGGGACTTTGTCTTCTGGATAATTACATGCATGGCACCATTTCATCCATCACAACCATAAAGAATTTTCTGCTTTCTGTAGAATTAAAAGAAAATTATTACTGAGAGGATATAAAGATACCTGTGATGAAGCCTACTGGGAATAATAGTCCCAGTTATGATATTTATCCAGATAGATATATACTTAAAAACATTATCAGCCACCTTAGGACAAATTGCTAAAAGAGGGCAAAAAGCGTTGTGGCACAAGTCTCTAAACTCCTTAGCCAAAAAGTTTTAACAAGGCTTATGTTTTGTACAGATAATTGTTACATTGTAACTAAAACCAAGACCACAGTAGCTCACTATATAGAAGTTAAAAGTAGATAAGTCAGTTTTGTAACCTCACATTTGACTTTTTGTTTGGTGACTTTTATATACAAAATTTTAAGGGTTAATAAATGCCTGTTGATGTCCATTCCTGTTTGGCCTAGAACATTTAAATTGGCTATAAATCTTTTTTTTTTTTTTTTAGTTTAATGTATTTTAATAGCAAACTTACAGGAACAGCACAGAAGACAGACAACATTAAAAACATGTACTTGCATGTAGGACAACTCAGTTAGAAAAGTATAGTGAATGAATGGAATCTACTGTATGATAAAAATGCTACAAACACCATTTAGTTGCCATCAATAAGAAATTTACTTGTTTTAAAAAAAATCCAAATGCTGGCATTGTCCAGAAAAATTTAACAGGTTTATTTATAAGTATTATAAAGTTGAACCGCTGAAACTTGTTCACTGAAACATTTTAACTTGCATTAATGCTTTACGCCTCTGCATTTATATTAAAAATTCACACACAAATGAAAATGGAAAAACTGCCAATACCTGATTTCTGTCCCCTATTTTTCCACTCGCAATCATATACTTAGGTACCTTTTGACCCCATGGAATAAAAATATCTAACGTTCAGAACTACCAATAACAGGAAGAAGAGAATTTTTTTTTTTTTTTTTTTAAGAATGAAATGTTTCCCATCATAGTGGATTCTTAAGCACGTTCTCCACGTATGCGCCGTGCTAGCTGGATGTCTTTTGGCATAATTGTTACACGTTTGGCATGGATAGCACACAGGTTGGTGTCTTCAAAAAGGCCAACCAGATAGGCCTCACTTGCCTCCTGCAAAGCACCAATAGCTGCGCTCTGGAAGCGCAGATCTGTTTTAAAGTCCTGAGCAATTTCTCGCACCAGACGCTGGAAGGGAAGTTTGCGAATCAGAAGTTCAGTGGACTTCTGATAACGTCTAATTTCACGGAGTGCCACAGTACCAGGCCTGTAACGATGAGGTTTCTTCACCCCTCCAGTAGAGGGCGCACTCTTGCGAGCGGCTTTTGTAGCCAGTTGCTTCCTGGGTGCTTTACCACCGGTCGATTTGCGGGCAGTCTGCTTCGTACGAGCCATGGTACAGAGACCTCCTTACTTACTGGCTATAAATCTTTTGGCTCTAAGTCCCTTGGCCCTAGGGTTCCCACTGAGGGAGAGGATGGACCTGGGCCAGGCAGCCATGCCGCCTTAGTAATACTATGGGTCAAAACAGAAGTTTGGTGGCCATCAATGTAACTTCTGGCAAATCTTGGCCAGAAAGGGGAGAATATCAACCAAAAATGAAATTCTAAGCCCCTCAACCATCTGAACAGACCTGCTTCTTGGTTAGGGGCATTCCAAAGTTAACCTGAAAAACTAGTTTCAGCCATAATGAAAAGTGAGGGAGAAGTGTCAGACATGCCTCACAGCTGACCAGCATTCACATCAACACAGACAGCTTAAAACTGATGAACAAGGCCAAGTGCAGTGGCTCATGCCTGTAATCTCAGCACTTTGGGAGGCCAAGGTGGGTGGATCACCTGAGGTCAGGAGTTCAAGAACAGCCTGGCCAACATGGTGAAACTCTGTCACTACTAAAAATACAAAAATTAGCTGGGCATGGTGATGCGTGCTTATTGTAATCCCAGCTACTTGGGAGGCTGAGGCAGGAGAATTGCTTGAACCCAGGAGGCACAGATTGCAGTGAGCCGAGACCATGCCATTGCACTCCCGCCTGGGCAATAAGAGCGAAACTCAGTCGGCGAGGTGGCAGGCGCCTGTAGTCCCAGCTACTCGGGAGGCTGAGGCAGGAGAATGGCGTGAACCCGGGAGGCGGAGCTTGCAGTGAGCCGAGATCCGGCCACTGCACTCCAGCCTGGGCGACAGAGTGAGACTCCGTCTCAAAAAAAAAAAAAAAAAAAAAAAAGAGAAAAACCCCTTTAAAAAAAAAAAAAAAAAGACTGATAGAACAGCCTCTTTAAATCTAATAAGAAATATTTACTATCTATTTTCTCTGAAGTCTGCTACCTGGGAGCTTAATCTACATGACAAAACCTTGGTCTCCACAACCCCTTATTATAACCCAGATTCCTTTTTATTGATTCCAGGTCTTTAAGTAATAACTCTTTCAACCAATTGCCAATCAGAAAATCTTTGAATCTGTCTATGACCTGGAAGCCCCCACTTTTAGTTGTCCTGCCTTTTCAGAACGAACGAATGCACATGTTATGTGTATTGATTGATGTTTTATGTCCCCCTAAAATGTATAAAACCAGTTGTAGCTCAACCACCTTGTGCCCATATTTTCAGGACCTCCTGAGGCGTTGTCACGGGCATGTCCTTAATTTTGGCAAAAGAAACTTCTAAAATGATTGAGACTTGTCTCAGATACTCTTTTGTTTACAAAGAGAATATTAATTTTTAGGCTTTGTACGATAACTTAATTACTGAAGATAAATTATGCTTCCTCAGTGACAACAAAGATAAACTAAGTCAGCTAACAAATATAATATAGGCTTTTATTTAGATTACTTCACATCATTCCCCACCTAACAATTCATTACATTTTTCCTGTTGTCAATGTGTTGAATCCCTGTAATTTGTACTGAATCCCCTCACATGTACTCTAAATCTTCGGAAATCCATGGCAAATATCTTCATAAGTTTATTAAGAAACCAGGACCAAGGAGCAAACACAGGTTCCATAGAAACTGATAAAATCTCGGGCCTTTAAATTAGAGATTTAGGGTTCTCAAAACAGTCACTACAGACAGGATTAGCTACAAACGGTGTTAATAACTGTTTCACACAAGCAAATATTGAAGAGATAAATATAATACTTTTCCCCTTGAGAAAGCTATGGTACATGACTAGGATTATAAAATACTGCAATGACTACTTCACTCAAGACTTACATTATAATTTTACAGAATTAAGATAGTCGATATTAAGATAGAAAAAGCAATGTGCTGGTTACTTCACCATTTTTAATAATAAAATAAATATTATATCATACAATGCAGAGTCTGAGAAGAGGTACAAAAATTAAAATGTAGAAATTTGATTTGTAAAAGAACATCAGAATCAGATACATCCCCTCTCCATAGAGGGCTCTGCAGTGAGGCCACAGGTAGGGTAACACCCTCCTGGCATAAACAACTTGCTGGCAATGTCTCTCAGGACTGTTGTCTGGCCTCTCCCAGGGCACAGGGAGAGATAAATTGCACTGAAAAAAGAGAGCTCAGCCGGGCGCGGTGGCTCAAGCCTGTAATCCCAGCACTTTGGGAGGCCGAGACGGGCGGATCACGAGGTCAGGAGATCGAGACCATCCTGGTTAACACGGTGAAACCCCGTCTCTACTAAAAAATACAAAAAACTGGCCAGGCGAGGTGGCGGGCGCCTGTAGTCCCAGCTACTTGGGAGGCTGAGGCAGGAGAATGGCGTAAACCCGGGAGGCGGAGCTTGCAGTGAGCCGAGATCCGGCCACTGCACTCCAGCCTGGGCGACAGAGCGAGACTCCGTCTCAAAAAAAAAAAAAAAAAAAAAAAAAAAAAAAGCTCAGCTTCCCAGAATCAGAGTTGTCTTGGGTTGGGTGGTGGTGAAGGCAGATATCAGGCAGAAGTTTTGCAGGGATGGCAGGACACAAACTGCAGCCTGGAGCAGCTAGAGGTCCTCAACCATGCAGAGAAATAGACAAGTTTACCATTTTAAGTGAGTTCTCCTTACTTAAAACACTTTCATCTAGTTTCCGGGAAAATATAACGAAGGGCTTATAAACTGCTTTCACTTGATGCATAAGGCTCAATGTTCTTGGGAGTTAAAAGGAATGTGGTTAACATTGTCCAATGCCTTGAGGAGACAGATAATAAATAGGGGAGATGAGGCACAGATAAATGCAATTGACTCTTAAATAACAGACTACTTTTAAAAAGTAAAATAGCAACTGAGAAATGTTCAAATGATGAAGGCATCTTCAGGTGGCTTCCTTTGTCATTCCCTGTTTTGGCTTGCACTTATTTTTCCTTTTGGTATTTTTCAAATTTTTTGTTTTTGTCTTTACAATTGTGAAGATATCTGGCATCTCCAGTGAACTGAGGACTCTCAGCTACTTAGGCTTTTGTGTGTCTGTTTTTCACCTCAGCAGTCTTCATTTTACTTGACTGCTATCCTTAAGAAAAAGCAACAGGTAATTATTAAACATTTCCGGGACATAACAAGTATTAGTAATAGCTGAGAAGCCACTAGATACCAGGTACTTAGAGAAGTATGTAGAATTCAGTAAAAAAGTCCAATCTCTTCATCAAGGAACTGGTATTCCAGGGTATAATGCTCCTGTAGAAAAATGATGTCAAAAATCAAGCTTTAAATTATGTATATGTCATTACCTTCCGAAGTAGCAATGAAAGACACATAAGAGAGCATAAAGAAAAAGAGTGCAGGCCCATGTAAAAAACCCAGAATACTAAACATCCTTCCAACCCCACTATCTTATGGATGAAGACAATTGGCATAAATAGCATTACTTTAATCTATTTATCTAAAACTTTCATGTTTAGAGAAGGTAAACATGAGAGCATACCTCACTGAGTATTCCAGGTTTGAAACTGACTGGTTTTCATAATTGTAAAGTTAATTAGGTAGACACAATCTCTTAGTACACCGGTCTTCTGGTGTACAAAAGGAATTAAGTAAAAGGTAAACATGGCAAAGTCATTTGGGGACAGAACACTCTCTGAGTGAAATTAACCCAGCGTATATCACTGGAGGATTATCAGCTGGAGGATTATGTTTAAGAAAATCATTATGGCTTACTTCTGCCAGAGAGGGCAGGGAGAGGAAAAGTCCACTTCATATTTAGGTTTGCTCTAGTTATCTGAAGGATTCGGATGGAACTGAAGCCTCTGTCTTACTTATTAAATAAATATGGGAACATAAACATAAATAAAAGAGGGTCCCATAATCTCAAAAGCATAAAGATTTGGAATGGCTGAAAAAAGAGAATGAGTTTGTGAACTAAACCACAAAGCATACAAATTTCCTATAGACTTTTGCCATTATTGCAGACTTGCTCCCTGTGTTTTACTATGCCTGTAGAAATACCCTGGAGGCTTTGAGTGAAAGCAGAGCCATTTCAGGAACATAACCTAGCTATGGGTAATCTCTCTACACTGGTGCTACTCTATGCCCATATGGCATTTGAGTGTCCTCAATCTTTTTATTTGTTAGATAGGGTAGTAGTAATGCCAATGTCTACAAAGCAGTTTATTGGTTTTAAAAGATTCTGCTTTATTTATTATTAGGTTTAATAAATATAACCACAGGTAGTAAATGCTAGAGGGTAACTAAATACGGTGAATCTAGAGAAAGAAGGGTTATGCTACAAAAAGTACTTAAAATATTATTTTAAAAAATACCTTCAGGCAGAGCGCAGTGGCTCACACTTGTAATCCCAGCACTTTTGGAGGCCGAGGTGGGTGGATCACCTGAGGTCAAGAGTTCAACACCAGCCTTTCCAAGATGGCGAAACTCCGTCTCTATTAAAAAATACAAAATTAGCCGGGCATGGTGACAGGTACCTGTAATCTCAGCTACTCGAGAGGCTGAGGCAGGAGAATCGCTTGAACCCGGGAGGCAGAGGTTGCAGTGAGCCGAGATCGTGCCAGGGCACTCCAGCCTGGGCGACACAGCGAGACTCCATCTCTTAGTACACTTTGTTCTAAGTCATTACAGCAATAAAAGACTGAAGTAGAATCTCCTTTCAGTAGGGCTAATTAACAAACATGCCCCAAAATGAAACTGTTTTCTTTGGAGAGAGGAGAGTTGTAATGATAAGTCTTTGCAGAATATATTCTACAATTGTGACCACATATATCTGGTCGAATATGTTTATACTGTTGGAACAAACTAGAAAAGAACTACAAGAAGGTACGGTCTAGAAAATGGAAAATGATAGAGTAATATTAACACCTTTAATTATTAAACTTAATTTTGCCATTACTTTAAAGAGAGTATGTTTAGCTTCCAAAGCTACTCATTATTTAGTGTGTTAAAGCTAATAAAAGGCCAAGAGCAGTGGCTCACGCCTGTGATCCCAGCACAGAGACCGAGGCGGGTGG